TTTTATTTGTTGAATTTACCGAATGCATAAAACGCATCCCAATAAAAAGAATTTCAACTTTAAATTCAACAGCTGGATCAGAGCCTGTCAAGGTGCCCACCTGGGCAGATTTTTAAGAAATTACGAATCCACACTGATCATGGCCTGATCGCATAGCATCGAAATAGCTATCGCCTAGCAAGACCTAAAATCTGAAGCCAAGTGATCGGGAAGCACAGGTAAATTCAGTGACAAAAAAAAATGCCTTCCAAGAAAAAGCCTTTCTCTGAACCATAGAACACGCCTCCGCAGTCTGGCACACCCCTTGCTTTTTGGATTACCCCGTATAATAAAAACCATGCGAATCTACCACGTTGGCAGCAACCGAGAGACCCAGCGCGAATTCCTCCAGAGGAGGCCGCAATACCGACGGACGGACGAAAGGATGAGATGGAGCGAAGCGAGCGTGGAACGTCGTGCGGACGTCCCGCCGTCCTGCGCAAAAACGACGTATCTACATACAGTTTCCATACGAGTTACATGGTTCTCGTTTAGCGGTCCAGCGTTACGCGCCGTAAATCCGGCGAGCTCGCGAATCATAAAAACACCGTTTAGTCAACAAAGAAATGCATGCACGTCCGGAGTGGTTGTTCGCCCGCGGTGGGGCGGGGCGGGGCGGGGGAAGAATAAAAGAGAAACAAGGGAGAGTGCAGGGCCTCGCTAAGTTGGAAATAAATTCGACAGTGCCTTGCCTTGGCGCGGCGCACTGTGGGTCGAGTCAATCAGAGAGGTCGGACATGACATTTTTGACTAAAACTGCAAATTTTGACGTTCATTTCGTCACATTTTAAATTTCAAGGGGTGCTGCTGGGAGGAAATTTCACGAGAAAAGCAATTGAGCCACCTCTAAAATCTCAAAGTTTAGTTAAAATGGAGTCTTGAACTTTTCAAGTTTCCGAATTTCGTCCGACCTCTCCTACTGACTCGATCCACTGTGCGGCGCAGCGGCGAGCGCGGGCTAGAGTAAACAACACACAAGGCGGAGTCGGACTGCAAAAATAGTATATTAACATCGTTGAAATGTTTGTTCCTCGAGCGCTGTTGTTCAAACAACCGCGACGAATAGAATTAAATGAAATCCTTAATTTTTAATTGAATTGTTCTACATTACCATCGAACGCAGGGAAGGACTGCGGCCCCGGACCCGGCCGTGGGGAAGGGTCGGTGGGGGAAGGGGTTGCTTAGGTGGATCCCTGCCGTTGCAAGATGAAACAGCGTATGGTGATTCAGATGTTGCCGGATGTCTTCGCGTTAAAGTCTGGTGAGGAGAATCTGTCGCGGAAAATTTCGATCAACAAAGAAAAGCTTTTACAGTCACACAGACGATAAGAAAGGGATATACGGGATTGCTTAGGAGGATCCCTGCCGTTGCAATATGAAACGGCGTATGGTGATTCAGATGTTGCCGGATTTTTTCGTGTTGAAGTCTGGAGAGGAGAATCTGACGCGGGAAATTTCTATCAATCAAAGAAAAGGTTTTACCGTCACACAGACGATAAGAAAGGGATATACGGGGTTGCTTAGGTGGATCCCTGCCGTTACAAGATGAAACGGCGTATGGTAATTCAGATGTTGCCGGATTCTTTCGTGTTGAAGTCAGGAGAGGCGAAACTGTCGCGGAAAATTTCGATCGATCAAAGAAAAGCTTTTGCTGTCACACAGACGATAAGAAAGGGATATTCTTGATAATACGAAGAAATTGACCGGCGGCTATTCGTCATTCACGTCAGGAAAGAACGTAACTACATTGCAATGTTGCCAAATTTTACTTGGTAGATTGGATATTTATCGGTTGAATTTAAGAAATTTCTAACTGAAAGTTTCACAGATTATTTTTCTGATTTGATGCAAAAACCAACAATATTTTCGATAAAAATTGCACGGGTATATACTTGTTAAATATTGAATTGTTTGAGCCAAATTAACAATCCTGGAATGGAGCTCCGTCCGTGCGTCCGGGAAACGACAAACTGTGACCTGCCACCAAGTCAAAGGATATGCTGTCTAAGGCGCTTCGAGCAACTATTCCGCCGCAGAAGTATTGCACAGTATCAGGGGAAAATGAAGGCGCACTACCGTACGCAAACTGGCTGCTGTATACCACTATGTGGGGAGCTCTGATCCCACGGTATGCGGCTCCTGATCGATCGGGGCATTATTATACCTTTTAATTTTATCGATTTAATCGATAACTGCTGTGAAGCAAAAGATACATCCCATTTTATTGCGATTTATATTCCCTGATGATTGCGTTCTGCCGTAATGCCGTATCACACAACACCGAATGCAGACACTATGAAGTCGCTCGAGCGAAACCAGTAGAAAGTCACTGTCTTGAAAGCAATTCCCCCGGAAATGCTCAGATTTCTGAAAATGCAATAATCCTCGATGATACTCGATTTTTTGAGGTTTTGCACACACGGATGCAACGGTATTTTTCCGGAGAACTAACCTTCGACTTTGTCACAGAATAATATCTGCGATTCAAATTCGAAGACCAGAACATTTAATAACATTTTATGAAAAAAATAATTTTCACAACTACAGTTGATAGTCTGCATTCAATTTTTCAATTGAATTCAACTATCTTTGTTTTAACTTTCTTGATCGGGTTGCTTTGCAACACTTCTTTACTTTCTTTTTCGCCTGATGTAGGTCAAATATACTTACATCGGGCGAAAAAATAAGTAAATAAATGTGAATTCAACTGATTATGATTTATGATTGATATGAAAAAGATAATCGGAATTCAAAATCCAAGTGGGTTTGTATTTGAAAAGCTATGCAAGGGAGTGAGTTTTTGAATAACTCCTTTCGTTACAAATTGTCGATTTAATACAGTGCACTGGAAAAAAACACATCGGATCTAGAGTCCAGATTCTTAAAAACATCGATAAGAAAAAATACTCTTGATTCAATCAGATTTAAGCTTAAATCTGATTGAATCAAGAGTTCTTTTTCTTGTCAATGATTTCAAGAGTCTGGACTCTAGATCCAATGTGTTTTTTTCCAGTGAAGTTATGCAAGGGAGTGAGTTTTTGAATAACTCCTTTCGTTACGAATTGTCAATTTAATACAGTGCACTGCGTGCACGTTTATAACTTCATTCAAAACTTTTTTTTTGATGAAGGATATTTCGTCGGGAGAGATTTGGCAATATTCAAACCCTGTTGCGTTGTTCTTGCTTAGTGCGATGGAATCCTTCATCAGACTGACGTTCAGTTTGCTGACTGATCCGCCAGGATCCTGAAGAGAGCGCAGACCGCGAAAGGGGCGCGCAGTGCCGGAGGGGGGGGGAGTGGAGACTTCGACCCTTGTGCTTTCCTTTTCCGGTCCCTTCGAGCCGGCAAACAAATAACATTTCTATAACGTCTCTCTTCATGAATATTTTATTCGTTTTATTGTTTCCATCTTTTTTGACTTACGGCTTGAAAAATTAAACTCGGTATGCTACCCCTCCCGGTTGCAAACCTGCAATTCGCACATCGGAACCTCTCCAATCATCAGATAAGCCCGGTAACAAACGGTTTGCTGCGAAGATTCTGGGATCTTATCAATCCTGGCGCACTAAGTTACGATTCACACAAAAAGTTCCTCTCCGATTGACACGTTGTTTTGAAAAACCACTGGTATAAGACAGTGATTTCGCAAAAGAACATATAATTCTCTTTTAAATCACATTTTAATTTCTTCTGAAAAGTTTAAACACTGTGATTTCATTCTTAACCACATTGCTCTTTTTAACTACCGTATTTTCAATTCATTTAAGATTTCGATTTGAGAAAATTTTACAAACGGCTAGAAAAATCGGCAAGTCATAGAATTATTTTAGGAACCAAAATAATCCAGAAGGACAAAGTTGAGTTCCCGTGAACCGGTTTAGTAAGTCGCAGTGGTAGAGTGGGTGTAGCTGAAAGTCTCAGATCGGCCCAACATTGGCGTCGTAATGGGAATTAGAAGAATTTGGACTCAATAATGGAGAAAAAAGTTTCTCAGACCCAGAGTCCAGACTTTTGAAAAAATCGACACGAAAAACATATACTCTTGATTCACGAGGACTTCTGCTTGAAACTAAAGACCAGCCCCCTAATTAAGGCGGATTTTCTTTTGGATTCAAGCTAAAGTCCGGTTGTATCGATAGAATATCCTGCGAAATTTGTTATTAGTATGGACTCTTAATCCAAGATACTCTTCCAATAGTTTAAGTCCCAGCCATGATACCTTCTCGGCCTGAATGCCAAAGCTCTCGCGTGGTGATCCCTAATGCTGCCATGCTAAGGAAGAACGCCGCATGAGCCTTAAGACGTTGCCAAGTTTCCTTCGAAAAAAAAACCGAATTTACTGGAAAAATTGTGAATATTTTTTTTCCAAAATTTTCAGATTATTTTGTACGCAATTCAATCTAAAATATTTGAAGGTTTCAAAGAAAAGTGTGCGCAAATATCGAAAATTCATGTTTTATCAAGGGAAATTTGGATACTCTCGAATGTTCATACGCGTTCTCCCTTAGCACGGCAGAATGGGCCTGAACTGTTTGACTCGTACTTTGCTGAGTTCTGTAACAGGTAGCGTAGACAAAGACGTGGAATATTAAATCAGGGTGTCTACTAAAACAGGCTAGTCGAAAATCAGTACTTACACAGTACTTTTTCAGCATATTTCCAAGAAATTCAGTACGTCTTCAATAAAAAATCCAGTACTTTTTCAGTACCTCCGATTGACGAGATTCGAAAAATTTCAAAAACTTGGACTTTTCGCTCAATTTAGATCAAAAGTGACAAAAAATCCGGACCTTCTTGCGGAATTTCCGCACTTTATCAGTACTTCTGGACCGCCTTAAAAAAAGCAGTACTTTTTTAGGACTTTCCGGAAATTCCGGACTTGTAGACACCCTGAAAAATCTATCACTATTTTAACTAAACGCTGAGCACGCATTTAATGCTCCTTCCGTCCTGTTTCAGGTAACCATGGAATCGAGCTTGCGGCGAGAAGTATGTTAACGACACAGACCGGCTATGCAGCAGCTCCAGGATCAACTCCAGCTGAACTTGATCCAGCAATCTCTGGCTCAAAGCGCGGCCAATAATATAAACATCACCCGCAACGGGTTGACGAGCAACGGGAGCTGCGCCGCCGAGGACGACAACAACAACAACAGCGGGAAGAAGGGCGGCTGCGGCGGCGGCAACGGCTGCTTCGAGGCTTCGCCGCGCGGGATGACCAACCACAAGGGCGGCGCCACGGCCGAGGCGCTCCAGCAGATGGCCTTCCAGCAGCAGCAGCTCGTCCACCAGCTCCAGATGACCCAGCGCCAGTACGTCTTCCAGCACGGCATCAGCCTCCCCGCCATGCTCCCCCACCCACCCGCACCCCAGGCGGTTCAGCAAAGTAAGTACTTCATACATCAATTGGCCGTACACTTCAGCGGTATAGGCTGAATGATGAAATTGAAAGACAAAGCCGTAGTCAAAGAAGTATGATAGATGCTCTGCAGCCCGTGACAAGATATACAATAAAAACAATTTAAAAAGCGGGTAACAAGGCTAAAAGAGGTTGTTCCATCCCCCATTAGATTTGGCCCCCTATCAGATATGATCCATCTTTTCAGGAGTGATACAGTAGCATGCGAGACGTTCAAATATGGCGGTCATTTTGACTTAGGCCCCCCCAGAGAGGGGGGGCGGGGGGTCAAAGTCAAAACCTTCAACTGCCTATAACTTTTGAGCGAAAAATCGGATTGAGTTGAACTTTTTTTTAAATGAAAGATCTCAAAAAGATCTATCTGCTGATACCAGAAAAATTGAAAAAAAGTTAAATTTAATGCAAATTTTTAGCAATTTTTCAATTTTTTAGGGGACAAAATTTTCAATTTTGTCGTGTTTCGGCACCGCGCAATGACTCTACTAAAACAAAAACCAGTTTTTTAGATTCTACACTTAATTTCCTACAAGATGCAAAAAACCGCATCTTGGGGAAACGTTTAGATCGCGAGCTATGGCTCGTCAAAGTTAGCCCCGCGCTGAGCGCGCGCGCCCTGCGCTGTTCGCATATCCTCTGCGCGTCTGCCACCGATCCTGTTGCCCCTCCTCCCCCTTCCTAAATGCAAATTAACATTCTACTACCCAGCTTTCGTATATATCTGCGTTATAGGTACGTGAAAATTTCAGCAAGTTCGTGATTTCCAGTGGAATTGATGCTTTATTTCGCTCCCCCCCCCCACCCCGGCCACTGTGCTCCAAATATTGTGCAAAAAAGAAATATATAAATTTTCTTGTTTCATGTTTTTGCTGATGTAGCACCCTGTGACTACGAGATCGAATTGAGGTAATTTTTTATCCCACCTCCCAACCACTTTTCGGTGTATTGAGCGTTTACCATTCATGAGAGGCCGACATTATTATGGGTATTCATAATAGGCTGCTGAGGAATTAAAAAATATTTCGCACGATTTTTCTCCACATAGCTTTGAGAAATATAAAATGATTTCGTTGTTGGCAGGGGCACACTTCAGTGCCAGTGGCCGGGTTGGGGGGGGGGGGGGAAATAAAGCATCAATTCCACTGGAAATCACGAACTTGCTGAAATTTTCACGTACCTATAACGCAGATATATACGAAAGCTGGGTAGTAGAATGTTAATTTGCATTTAGGAAGGGGGAGGAGGGGCAACAGGATCGGTGGCAGACGCGCAGAGGATATGCGAACAGCGCAGGGCGCGCGCGCTCAGCGCGGGGCTAACTTTGACGAGCCATAGCTCGCGATCTAAACGTTTCCCCAAGATGCGGTTTTTTGCATCTTGTAGGAAATTAAGTGTAGAATCTAAAAAACTGGTTTTTGTTTTAGTAGAGTCATTGCGCGGTGCCGAAACACGACAAAATTGAAAATTTTGTCCCCTAAAAAATTGAAAAATTGCTAAAAATTTGCATTAAATTTAACTTTTTTTCAATTTTTCTGGTATCAGCAGATAGATCTTTTTGAGATCTTTCATTTAAAAAAAAGTTCAACTCAATCCGATTTTTCGCTCAAAAGTTATAGGCAGTTGAAGGTTTTGACTTTGACCCCCCGCCCCCCCTCTCTGGGGGGGCCTAAGTCAAAATGACCGCCATATTTGAACGTCTCGCATGCTACTGTATCACTCTTGAAAAGATGGATCATATCTGATAGGGGGCCAAATCTAATGGGGGATGGAACAACCTCTTTCACACACACAAAACCAAAACGTTTCGGCTGAAAATTCAGTCATCCTCAGTTGGATAAATAAAAAAAAAAAAAAAAAAAAAAATGGTTAGAAATCTAAAATAGTGCCTGATAAGTGCCTTTCGATTGGGAATGTTGTTATTATGACAGAAATTTTGATAACATAGTCAAGAAAAACACCGAAAACGGGCATCGGTGAAACCACTGCAGCGCTTAAAGTAGCCAAAGAAGGCATAGGGAAGATTTATCGATCCTCAGGCGGTTCAGCAAAGTAAGTGCTATTAAGCGCTCCATACATGAATTGGCCGCACACTTCAGCGGTAGGCTGATTGTTGAAATTGAAAGACAAAGCCGTAGCCAAAGAAGGTATAGGGAAAATTTAACGATCCTATAGGTTGAAAAAGTTGGTTCTTAAAGATAGACTAAGGTAGAAAACGATGGACTAACTAATGATGTCTAGTTGATTGCCGTTGGTTAGTCTACTATTTACCTCTTTTGTCATCACAAATGGGATCCCTACCATTTCTGTTTATCTTCTTTGTCTATTCCTTTGTCGATCAATTTCAACGATCAGCCTGCAGGACCAGATTGGCCGAGGTGCTCTTGCACCCCCCCCCCCCCTTCCCGGCGAATCTTTACTTCTAGATCCTCCAGATGGTCTTTGAAGTCTAAAAGACGAATTTAAGGAGGCCCTGGAAAGAAATTTTGGGTGTCATGAGGACTTGGAGTATTTGGAACACAAAATGATTGGCACACCAAAACTGAGCGCTGATCTGACCCTGCACATAGTCAGCTGAGGCTAGCTTTCGGTTGTCCCGGTGTTAAACGCGAATTTTCTCAGAATCAATTTCAGAGATCAAAATAAGACATTGTTGTTTTACAAAGATTTCCAGGGAGATCCCCCCCCCTCCTTGGAAAATCAATGATGTCGTAACTTTCGTTCATAGTTTAATTACTTTCGTTGTACAATTAACATTAATCTGAAACAAAAAAAGATAAATAATAATAATAATAGTAATTCGCTGTATTTTCCTTTACATCCATTTAACAGCTTACAGTGTTGCAACCGGAAGCAAATACTTTGCAAAAAATTTCTACGCATAAATTTAAAAAAAAAAACCACTTAAGTTCGCTTAAGATCGGCTTACCGATCCTTTCACGGCAAAAATTAAATAAGATTTTGATATTTGCTTAACAGACTTAGGACAGGCAGACTTCAATGCATTCTGGAGTAATTTCAATATGGAGTCTCCAGATCTACACAAGAAGCAGATATCAGAAAAAGCAATTGTAGGCATCAATGGTGAGTTTTCAAAAGTTTCGTAATAAAAGTTGTTTAAAAACCTTACATTTGAATCAAGTGCATGATATAGGCTTGGCATTATGTCTATTTCCAACGACGTCATTTGTGATCACCGCTGAGGAATCACTCGAGGTGTCCTGCGGATCGATTTTTGAATATTTATCGAATGAATTCGATCGATAAGTCCCTATCTTGGCAGTGCTTATAATCGATCTAGGTTATTAGATTACGATTCAACAATCGACCTGCTGGTGTGTACGCTGACTGATCACACGCAGACTTATCCTACATCGAAGAGGGGGAAGGATAAAAAGGCAACTAGAAGGGTCATTCACGGTACGAGCGGTGAGAAAAGCACCTACACTTGTTAAGATAGGGTGGCTTCCGTATTACATTGGAAAAAAAAACACATTGGATCTAGAATCCAGACTCTTGAAAACATTGACAAGAAAAAAATACTCTTGATTCAATCGGATTTTTGCTTGAATCAAAACGAAATCCGCTTAAATTAAGAGGCTTGGTTCTTGATTTAAGCTAGATTCTGATTGAATCAAGAGTACTTTTTCTTTTCGATGTTTTCAGGAGTCTGGACTCTAGATCCGAAGTGTTTTTTATCCAGTGTAAGTTCTTACTCATTCATACCTAAGTCAGTTGCATGCTCATTTTCTTGTTTTGATTTTTAATTTTAGTTATACTTATTGTTGGGAATGGGCATGTAATCGGCCCTAAACGTCCTGGATGTGTTTTTTTACTCGATTTTTAGTCCATTGAACCCATTGGTGGTGCACCGAAAAAAATGGATTGCTGATTTAACAATCCAGTTGTTCAAAAAATGACTGCGATGTTCCAAATGTACATTTTACAATATTGGAAAGCTATTTTAACCACGGGAGTGGTGAAAGTGGCATTTTTTGTTGTTAACGTAGCATTCTTTTGGTGTAAAATCTACATTGAAACATTGCAGTCACTCCTTTTAACAACAGAATTGTTAAATCAGCAATTTAATTTTTTCCGTGTGTGTTCCTTGTGTGTCATCGTTATGAATTCGGGCTATTGCGTGGTGTCTCTCTTATCAATTGTCAAAGTACTACTTATCAACGTGTTGAATCAAATGCAAAATTTGTTAAACGTTGTGAAAGTTTACCTTGATTAGGTTCCAGTATGATTGGACCATCCGATTTTGCGAGTTTTCTTTTTTCGGTTCAGTATACCTTGTACCGACAAGTTATTTAAATATTCAAGCATTATTCAGGTCGATACATATAAATTTTTCAGGGCAGACTATGAAAAATCAGTGTCTGAAAGTTGGTGAGAACGAAAACACACCAACTCGGAAATTTTTAAACGCTTAATTCCCCGTCGTCAAACATGGTGTATCCATCTCAACTTGGTGCTTTACAAAGTCTCTAAGAACTTGTCCTTTGGCACCAAAAAGGTTTTTCTTAAACTAACTTCTTCGCCCGCTGCGCAGTTTTAGGTGTTTCCTGAACAATTTTTTTTTCCGAGTTGGTGTGTTTTCGAACTCGATTCAATTTCAACGATCAGCCTGCAGCCCGCATATCGCCACCAGCAGGCCGATTATTGAAATTGATAGACAAAGCTACAGACAAAGATGACAAAAGGGATATGGAGGAAGCCTATTGGTGGAAGTTGGTGGTTGCAATGGACAAAGACAGTAGGTAATAGACTAACTAACGGCAACCCACGAGAAACCCGACGGTTAGTCCATCATTTTCTACCTTTGTCTACACTGGAAAAAAAGAATCTTAAATTTGCCGCCAAGAAGTATTTCTTCTTAAATCAACAATTTTGCTGGTTAATATAAGGTACTTTTTTGCGTAACCCAAGCATTATTTATATTGAATCAAGAAAAAGTCAGCTTTAGGGAAGATTAAGAAAATTCTTGGCGGCAAATTCAAGAATTATCATGCTTGATCCAAGCTACTACTTTTTTCAGTGTATAAGAACCACACATTTCAACCGATAGGGTCGCTCCATACCCCTTATGTCTTCTCTGTCTATAGCTTTGTCTATCAATTTCAATAATCAGCCCGCTGGTAAGGTTATCGTTATTCGATACTCATATGCTCGTCAGGATAATCCATCCCGACAAAAATTGAGCGGTGGCGTTACCTGGCGGGGAAAGGCGCCCGAGGGCGAAGCGCGTTATCCTTTGTTTCCTCGCAGCGCTTTGCCCGCATTAATTCGTCGTCGCGAGGAGGCGAGGGTCCGTCCGGTCAGGGGCGGAAACGGAGAGCGATACGGCGAAATTCGGCTCGCAAATATTCGCTTGTTTATTCGCGCTCGCGGTTAAAGGGTTCCGAAGCGGCCGCGGGATGGCGGGGGGGGGGGGGGGAGGGAGGATAGAAATTGGAAATAATCGTGAAGCGCGAGCAGTTCCGGGAATTATGGGGTCCGCTAAAAAGTGAGCGAAATAACAACGCCCCGACCCCCCGCCCGCCGCGCATCCTGATCGAAGAAAATGCTAAGTTTTCGACTATACACTCACAATAAGTGTAATTAATTAATGGCGGCTGTTTGCTCACACATTCCGACAAAGCGACTCGCGGGGTCCGGGCTCCTCGACTCCATAACCGGGGGCCAGCGTTGTCGGCTTCACCGGAAAATCTTCGGCGTACTTTTCCGACTTTCTACTTCAAAAAGATTTTGTGGTGGGGAATTCTTTTCAAAATCAGAATACCAACGAGGAAAAAAAGTTACATCGAATATTGTCAGCTCATGAGGCTGACCTTACTGTATGTAATTTAATGAAAGAGTGTTTAAAATACTGCAGTGTAGGTACAAAACTTGACATTCAATGAATTATTACAAAAAATAATAAATAAAAATGAAGGAATGAATTAAAAATTAATGTAATGGGAAATTCTTTTCAAAATCAGAATACCAACGAGGAAAAAAGGTTACATCGAATTTTGTCAACTCATGAGGCTGACCTTACTGTATGTAATTTAATGAGAGTGTTTAAAATGCTGCAGTGTGGGTACAGAACTTGACATTCGATGAAATATTACAAAAAACAATAAATAAAGAATGGATTAAAAATTAATGTATCCAAAAAATATTCTGAAGATTCCAGTGTTGTTTCGGGTTCCGAATTTCTAAAAATTAGTGGTTTTCGGTGAGGAAAGAAAACTCACCAACGTTCCTGAGCGAAATCCCTTGTGCTTTACAGTACTGGCCGTCGTGCCACCATACCAGCGAGCAAATTACTGAAACTGATAGACAAAACTAATAACAAAGAAGACAAAAGGATGGAGGAATCCTGTTGGTGGAACCGGGTGGTTGCGATGGACAAAAGAGGTCGATAATAGACTAACGAACAGCAACCACGAGATCCTAGAGTTAGTCCACCGTTTTCTTACTTAGTCTAGAGGAACCATCCATTTTAACCGATAGGATCACTCCTTTCTCCTGATGTCTTCATTGTCAATCAATTACAATAATCAACCCGCCGGTTGCATTCACCACACTGAAAAAACATTCTCGGCGTTTTTACCAAGGTCCGTTGGTACCTTTGCCATCTCACTTTTTACCAATTATTGGTAATTTTACCAAGACAGACTGGTAAGCTTACCTAAAAACCGGTATTTTTACCGTTTTTCTCAGGTAAGAATACCACTCTTATTGGTAATCAATTCCCGGTAACTTTACCATTTTATCTCGGTAATTCTACCACAGTCGATAAAAAATATTGGCGTTTTTACCGGGGTACAGTAAAATTAACGAGAAAGTCAATAATTTTACCGAGATTTCTCGGTAAAATTACCAATTCCATAAAACAAAGGTAAATGGTAATTTTACCAAGAAAAAACTGGGATCAAATAGAACCCTGAATTCTTGGTAATTTTACCCTTATCTTAGTAAATATACCAAGATTTTTTTTTCAGTGCAATTCCAAGTCCGAAATTGTGCTGAAAATGGTTTCAGAATAAACTCTTTTCTTGATCGTTTGAGCTGGAAATCAACACCTGCGTGAAGCAATCACTCGCGAATGAAAGCGTGAACCGTTTACTCGCCTCCTTTAATTCCTCCTTGAGTCGGAGTAAGGTCGGAAAACTGGCAAAATCGAGCGTGATTCGGGGAGGGGGCAAACGCGGCGGCGAAGAGAAGCGTGAAAAGAACTGCGATCGAAAGTCCCGAGCCAGCTCCGACCGCCAGAATCCATCGTCTTTGTTTAGCCAATAATTATGGATGCGTTTTGTTGTGATATTTAGCTCAGCGCCGGCTCGTTATCCCCCGCCGCGTCCGCTCTTGCCAATTCTTCGCCTCTCTGAGTCTAAAATCGGGTCCTTGAATCGAGCTTTCCCAAGCATCGAGGTCAAACGGCCCAGCTGGAACACATACAGAGGAGTTTGTCTCGTCGTTGAGGAGGTATCCCTCTTCCTTATCTACCTGCGGGCTGATTATTGACATTGATAGACAAGGCTATAGACAAAGCAGACATGTATGGAGCGATCCCGTTGGTTGAAGTGGATGGTTCTTGCAGACTAAGGGGGGAAATCATGTGGACTAACTGTGGAGTCTCTTGCTGATCGCCGTTAGTTACTCTGATACCTTCCTCTTTCGTGCATTGAGACCACCAACTGCAGGATTGCTCCATTTCCTCTTATTCTCCTTTGTCTATAGCTTTGTCTATCAATTTAAATGATCAACCCGCTGGGCTCAATCATACTTGGAGGTGCTACACCATACTTAAATGGGTGTCCGCACAACTCGAGGTTACCGTTCCACTTCTCGCACGAAATTTTCCTTGAAAATGAAAACCAAGCAGGACTTTACTTCGCAAAAAGCAAAGTTCCACCAAATGGAAGGTTATTATTATAAAACTTTTCATGCGGTAAAGAAGTCCAATTCATTGCTAATTGAGGGATTCGCTCAGGAGAAAGAGGATCCCAAAATAAGAAACAGCGCGTCTTGAATGAGCATATTGACGTAACGGAATTGAGGTCCTGGTGCGCCTTCAATCGTCTTAGATAGGC